TCAGGACCCAGATGCCTAAACAAACCCCAAAGAAACAGCCAGCACCGAGCCGCCTCGCAATGTTCCAGCGGCGGCGGCGGCCGCGGCGGCGGCGGCGGCGCTGCCTGTGTCAAAGGCGCTGAGCCCGCCTGGCCTCCCCGGAATCCTGCTCCTGCTCCAAGGGGCTGGGGCGCCAGCGCGACCCAGACTCTGTAGGGGGGTGGGGGTGGGTCGGCTTTGATTGTCCAGATACAAAACCCAGACTGGTATTGAATTCAGCTTGCTGACGGTGTGGGCCCCACTCCCTCCCGGCTCCAGCGAGGGCAACTCTGTGCAAGGTCCTGGCAACAAATCCATTAAAAATGCCCGCCCAAAAAACCCCACTAAGGAAAATATGAGAGAGCGAGAGAGAAGATATGCTACAGTATGAGAAAACAGCAATCTCTGAAACCGAGAAATTCTTCAAGGACAAGAAAAAGAATAGTAAAATGACAGGGAAAGCACACCGGGCAGAGGCTGTTAAAATGCCCACACTCTGTTCGGATCCTGGGAATGTCCATGTTCAAATAAACAAGCGCCTCAGCTTGGGCTCAGCGCTTTCTCGAGGCCGACAAAGCGGCCGTTTATACTGTGAGAAAGGCGAGATTGATTTACTAATCTGAACGCGCCGGGTTTTACGGCAGATCACAAATCCGTCAGCGCTCAACTCACGCTGGGAAACTTCCCAACTCCGTTTTCCAACCAGACCCCCCTCCCCAGCCGCCGCTTCCCGGGGAGACCCACCACCCGCGCTGGGGCGGCTTCATCGCGCCCTGGCAGGACTGGGCAGCCCCAGTCTGGTTTGAGAGGTTGGCAGGCTGGTGGCAGTAAGCAGGGAGAGTGGGGCGGGCTGAGGAAACTGGAGGGAAGAAAGGCAGAGAGATCAAAAGATTGGGAGGACTCAGGTGGCTGCCAGAATTGCCAGAATTGTAGAAGGTGAGTCCATAGGTGCCACTAAGCTGAGGTCACTGCCGCCTTGGCATGCGGCTGCCGGCAGCTCTCAGCTCTGAAAGGTTGAGGTCCGGGAGTAAGGAAAGGGGAAGATCTCATATTTTCAGACTGTGGGGCTAAAATCCTTTCGTGAACTCCAAACTTCCCTTTTCATTGGCCTCCTCTTCTTTCTCTTTGGTAGACCCCTGGCTCCCACAATGCATGGAACTGCTTATAAAGTCTCAGGTGACTAGGTCTTTGTCACCTGGGTCTATAGAGGGGTCCACAATTGGTTGTGATGGCTGCACATCTCCCCTGACCCCCAAATATTTACACCCCAGGAATTGTCCTGTTCCCCCTTTCTGCTCACCCTCTTTCCTTCTTGAGGCCTCTAGCCTTCTATTTATGCCCCCCTATCTATGGCATATTTACATATGCCAAAGGAGAAGATACCAACCAGTTCCAGTTATTTCTTGCCTGAGACAGAGTCCCTCAAATTACAGGAAACAATTTATGAAATGCAAACCAACACCTCACACACATCCTAGTAAGGCTCTATCTTTCCTAGTCCTAACCAGAGGACAGCATTTCCTCTGTCCAGTCCATCTGTCTGTCTGTATCTCTCTCTGTCTCACCTCTAAGGCGATAGCTGCTGGCAAGGATTTTTAAGATACAGCAAGCAGAATACAGATTTGGAAAGGCTGTATGTTTGGGGTTCACGTCTTCCTAGCAAACTCCCCACTCATCTGTTACAATAAAAAGTTGCTAAAAACTTTGGTCAGTGTAGCAGAGCTGGCCCCAGGAAGGAGGTGGTCAGAACAGCCTGCATCAACCTTCCTTCCATTTCTCTTGCTCCTCTGGTGGGCAAGGTACTCCCTAGGTCCTGTGAGTCGCTGGGGTGGGATTGGGGGTTTGGAGGAGGGGGTGAGGATGATTGTATGAATAGCTTCTGAAACAAAGAAACTTCAGAAAATGGGTGGAGAGGCTGTGGATTTGGATATCAGACCTTAGGAGATGGTATGTTCATGATGGGAGCCTTCTTCCCCTTAGGCCCCTGGAGTTTATTCCTGTAGCCCTGTGGATCGAGCCTCTCCAACCTCTCCTCTCCCCTCCCTTTGTCTTTCTTCGCTCAGTTCCTTCCAAGCAAAACAGGCGAGAAGGAGAGATGGAAGGGGGGGGGAGGGTTGGAGCCTGGCCTAGTGAAGGGGCACTGAACAGAGAAATAGACCACTGCCTTACTTCCCTTCCCCTGCTGGACCCCCTGGCTAAAATTTTTATTCCTTTTCTCCCCTAATGGACAGTAATAGAAAAATGATTCAGAAATTCCAAGATAGCAAAGAAGGGATTGTGGGCAAGTGGGGGGATGGAGAAGATGGACGCACCACAGCCCAAGGACCCCTTCCTGCGGAGGTGTGACTTTCCCTCCTGGGCAGGAGGCGAGAGCCAGCACAATGTCCAGTCTCAGAGAGGTCAAGGGGCTTCCGAGGTCATTTTGTGGTTCTAATACCGAGCTAATCGCCTAGAAAACGTGGCCTCTCCATGAACTCTCTCCCCTGCCAACCTCCCGCCTCTAAACCCTCAATGAGCCCCAGGGAAAAAGGGCAAGAGCTTTCAGGTCTGAGGCAGAGCCCACTGGCTCCCTCACCCTAATAAAAGGAGGGAGCAGAGCCCCCAGATTGAGAGAGCAAAAGAAAACCAGCCCAAATGCCCAGCCTCCAGGAGGAAGACATGGGAAACAGCAGAAAGGAGGAACATCCCGGTGTCAACGGAACCTCCAAGCTTGCCTCTGAACTGAGCAGTTTCCTGCTCCAGAGAGTAGCACACATTTGTCTAGAATCCCAAGCAAGGCATAAAAAAACAAAAACAAAAAAAAACACATCCACCTATATCCCAGCTCCAAGGCTGGGAGAGGCCATCCAAGAACTGGACTCGGTTTCTCAAGGAGGCGGCAGGGACATCTCACGAGTAAACTGGCACATGGGACACAAGCTCCCAGAGTTGACAAGCAGAGTCACAGAACACCTTGGCCACATGTGCACCTCGCTATACACACGCGTATATACACACGCAGGCAGAGGCTCCCAGGCCCACCTGCATTTCCCCAAACCAGAAAAGCACTTCTGAGCTGCCTGGCAAACAACCTTCTTGTCTGGGATTTTTCAGGGGCTCTGACACCTCCGTCCCAACCAGTTCAAACGCTCTCCAGGTGTCGAGGCCCCTCTCTCCCTCTGACCCACGCATCAGTCATCATAAAAGGTGGCAAATCTAACCAAGTGTCCACCATAAAAAACCCCCGAGAAGATAGCTGAAAAAGAAAAGGAGGAGGAGAGAGAGTTTCTTCTTTAGCTTGTGAAAGAGCTCATAAAAGTATCAAAAAATGCCAGCCCAAGGACGGCTTTGTTACCTTTGCGCCTCTCGCCTCCTCTCCCCCGAGCTCTGCCGATCCCATTCATGACGAACGGCTTCTTCCAAACTGAGAGAAAAAAGTTTTCAACTTTATGGCTCCAAATTTTTGCCCCCTTGCAGATCCTGGAGAGGCGGCTAACACTTTTTTCCCCCAAGAGCCGGTCTGCAGAGATTTGCTGTTGGATAATAACAAAGGAGAGAGGATCCGTATTTAAAGAAAAGAAGTGATTAATGGTTTTCTGTATAATTCCCACATTTTTCTTAGCTCTTGTCTGCGTAGAATGGCTGTGAACTTTAAGCTCCATAGAAATCTTTTTTTTTTTCCTATTCATACCTTCCAAGGAGCAGCTTTGATTTGGTTCTATAGAGACATTGGTGGGGGGGGGGGGCATATGCTTTTTAAGAACTATTTTTCCCATCTATTAAGGGCCTCCACATCCCCGTGCAGCTAAACATCACACTGCAATTTGACAGTAACAAAGCTCACCCTGGTCATCCCCTAGGTCCCCCAGGTCCGGGGTAGCATGGTAACGGGGTAGTTCAAACTCCCTTTCCCACTGTGGACACAGCCCCACTGGTTCCCCAGCCTCAAATACAGGCGCTTCTAACTGGAAACATAAAAAATAAATCAAAATAAAATTGTGGGTAGAATTGGCTATTTTTATTTTCTGAAGGGAGATAGGATCGAAAAACAACTTTGAATTGCACATACTATCCCAAGCCCTGGGCTTTTGGGGAGGCAGGGTGGCTGGACCCTGGACTACCACAAGACTGGAGACCCCGAGGCTGGAGCCCCCAGACCTTAGAACTTCTCAGCGGTGCTGCACAGAAGTGGCCCAAGCCCCGACGGAGCTCCTGAGGGTCATCTGCACCCCTTTTCCCCTCCCCCACCCCATTCTAGGGGTGACTGGGACCTCAGAGACAGAAAGCTATTTGGTCCCCAGTCGCACTTTCGATACTTTCTATGAAAAAGAAAATGAAAATTAATACAGGAGCAGGGCTTCACAAAAGAGGCCATTTGTCTTCTTGATTATCTATTTGCTTGTCAGAGTTTGAGCTATGGCACCGGCTAGCTCCTTTGTAATATAAAAATACTCTGAAAACCTGCAAACACCCAGAAACATCTGTGCAAAAAATTAGACTCATTAAAGCCTTAAACACCTCAAAGAAAAGCGATACCTTCTTATGCTGGAAGGAAGGAAAGAGGCCGGCCTCATGGAATCCTCTCTCGGAACTTTAACAACCAAAGAGCAGTCTGTCTAGAAGGAGACAGCTTAACCGCATTTTACTTGCTTATGACAAATAAATCACGATATGAAAGGCTTTGCCATACTTAAGCCTCTTGTGCGCTACAATGAAACATTTTTCCCCCATTAGGGACTGGAATCAGCCCTCCCAGTCCTTTCAATCCATTTTTGGACTGGAAGGAAAAAAAAATTAAAGCCCTAAACAAAACATAACCACCCGAAAAGGAAAACAAACCGGCTTCCACAATTTGGAGTCCACTGAGAGAGATTCCCATTGGACCCTTTGAAAAAACCGTCGACATACAATGTGAGGCAGAACCCACTGGGATACTTCAGTTACAAGCTAGGTGGCATTTGTCCATATCGTTACATCAAAGTTTCAACAAAAACACGCTGTGTTGGTCACAAGAAACCAAACATTTATTTCTATTGTCACTCCGTACAGGAAACACATTTTCACGCCTGCGAAAAATTCTAGACTCAGTAGGCCCCAGAGATAGGAAGGGGCCTGGTTTGGAATGTCAGAAAGAGTACAGGAGAGGACGCACATGACATAAAATAATAGTAATAATAATAAACGACGCAACAAGGATGAACTATGGGAGAGGGCTCTGCTGCGACATTGTCCCCCCAGACTGGGAAGGGCACAACATTTCGTTTCCTAGTTTCACATTCATTTTCAGTCTAGGAGAGCGGGCCTCGCTGTAGCACTCCGGATTGCTGAGGGGGTTGTGCCGGGCTCCAAGAACTCAACCGGCCTCTCATCCTGCCGGGCTCCGCTTTGCCTTCCAGAGCAAGGCCGTCGGCCAGCCTCTGGGGCTCTCTTTTTGCTCAGCCTCGATTTCTCTGCCGGCTCCTGCGTTGCCAAGGCTGCCCCCTCCCTCACTTGTCCCCTTTCTGCCCCCCACCAGCCCCAAGGTGGAAGGGGGCAAGCAGTCAGTGTCCCCGTGGAAGGGCACGGAGGGGGAAGGAAGTTGTGTGTGTGTTTGTTACCGTGGCCACAACACTGAGCTATCTGGAGTCAGAGGGTGCTTTCGTAGGGTGTCTGGAGTGGGGGACAAAGAAAGAGAATCCAGGCCGTCTTCCAGCAGTGGCAGCAGCAGAAGCGGCGGTCGCCGAGCCGGGCCTCATTTGTTAGCCGGGTGTCGAGGTAATGGTCGCCACCGAGGCCCGTCCTCTCCTCGGCAGAGTAAACAAGACAGATGGGCCTGGGCCTGGCGTGATTAAAGATGAAACGTGGATCCATCTTCGCCAAAGGTGAAAACGAGGAACTGCATGCAGCCTCCTCCTATTTCTCTTTCTGTCTTTTTCTTTCTTTCTTCTTCTTTTTTTTTTTTTTTAAGGAAGAAAGCAAGAGACTTGAACCTTGCTGGGGGGGGGGCCTCGTCCGGCTCCCCATTGTCATTTCTATAAATAAAGCTTCCCCTCCCCCTGCTTCTCTGCGTTTATTCGTATATAGATAAAGTGGGGGGAGGGCAGATAGGTTTCTCCGGGCCCAAGCCCCGGGGCCCCTCCCGCCCCCCTCGCGCTCGCTGCCCACCCCCGCCCCGCGGTTCTAGGCTCCCGCGTGGGGGGCACTAGAGCGCGGGGGGGCCTCCGTTGGGCCGGCCAGGGGGCCCTCCGGCTGTGCCTGCTGTGCCACTCGAGCGGATCTTGGTGTTGGGCAGCTTGTGGTCTTTTTTCCACTTCATGCGCCGGTTCTGGAACCAGATCTTGATCTGGCGCTCGGAGAGGCAGAGCGCGTGGGCGATCTCCACCCTCCGGCGCCGAGTCAGGTAGCGGTTGTAGTGAAACTCCTTCTCCAGCTCCAAGACCTGCTGGCGAGTGTAGGCGGTCCGAGAGCGCTTGGGCTCCCCGCCGACGTAATTGGGATTTACTGGACACACACAGAGAGACGGAGAAAGAGAAAGTTTTATTGCCCCCGAAAGGGAGGAGGGAAAGCCCTTTCTTCCAGCTAACAACACAGAGTCGCCCTCCCTCCCTCTCGCCCTCCCGCACTCTCCCACCACCTCTTCTTCCCCAAGGGGGGGGGGACGAAAAAGAAAGAAAGAGGGATCCAAGGAAGAGAAAGATCTCAAAAGTTTTGGAGGGTGGTGGTGTTTGTTGTTATTTGGGTGTCATGGGGAGGGGTGGAATGGGGGGTGAAGATTTTAACCCCTGTCTCTGTCTCTCTCCCTTTGGCCTGCAGCCCCAGGATGGGAGAATGGGGGAGGTGGAAGAGGGAGGGAGCTTCCCTAAACCTTTCCTCTGCTGTTTAGTTCCCACCCTCGCTGCTCGGATTCCAAGCGGTCTATCCCCAGTAAAAACTTTTGCCTACTTCCCGGGCCAAGGAGCCTGACTAGAGGAAAGAAAGGAAAAAATAAATACTGGGAGTTGAGTCAACTCTCCTGCTTAAATACAAATTCCCTCCTCCTCCTTCTCCTCCCCCACTCCCCTACGTCCCACACGCCTCCCCAACTTCCAGTTTCACTAAGACTGCATCTCCCTGATGAAAAAGTCGCTGGTGAGAATGGTGAAGAGGATGGGGAACCGACTTCAAAGGCGCGGGGCCCACCAGGCCATAAAAATTTATGGGGGATGTAATTATGTGGCTCTGAAAACAGGCGACCGTAAATCTCCCGCAATGGCGAGTTTACTGCGGGGACAATTGGCTTCCCCCAGCTCTGCCTCCCCCACCCCCACCCCCACCTCCACCCCCCCATGCCTCGGAGGTCCCTTGGTGTAAAGCGCCCAGGGTGGGGGGGGGGGAAGGGGTGCAAACGCACTCACCCGTGCTCACGTGAACTTTGCGCATCCAGGGGTAGACGACGGGTTCTTTGCACGCGGAGTGGGACGGGCTGGGGTGCAAGGGGTTCTGGGCGCAGGGAGGCGGCGGGGGGCTGCTGCTGATCGCCTCACAGCGCTGGCCGGGCTCCTGGAGGAGGGCCCCGGAGGGTGGCGGCGCAGGAGCCCGAGGGGACAGCCCAGGCGGTGGCGGGGGCGGCGGGGGTGGTGGCGGAGGCGGCGGGGGCCCAGGGTCCCGGCAGGCCGCGTAGCGTTGCACGGTGCACGCCGCGCGCCGCCCGAAGCCCGCCTCCGGCTGGAAGCTGCTCTCTCGCCTCTGGCCGCCGGCGTAGTACCCGGGCGAATGGTCGCTGGGTAGGTAATCGCTCTGTGAATATTCCTCGCAGGGAGGGAACTTGGGGTCGACATAGTTTGAGTTGATCAAAAAAGAACTCATAGCCATTAATTTCTGGGAATTGCCCACAAAATATACTAAAATTTATTCCGACCCCTGACTCGTTTTCCTGTTTCCGAAAGCCCTCCTACTTACTGTCAAGTGAACAAAGTTAGGGACCCACGTGATTTTCGGAGCCAATGGCCGCCCCGCCTGCGATTCCCGGATAAGGAAATCTGCTCACCCGAACCCTACTCCAGCCAAAGAGGTTTATTTCCCCTTCTTCTCTTACCCCTCCCCACCCACCCAACACCAGGATTTACATAGGGCTCTCTCGGGGGCGATCTCCTCCTCGTCTTGCTCTCCGAGATACAACAGAGAGAGAGCAGGTTTCGACTGGAGGGCGTTTTGGGGCGCTGGGCAGACTGCAACCCCTGGGTCCCCTCAGAAGTGGGACTCCCGGTGCATCCCCTCCTGTCCTGCTTCACCTCCACCCAGAATTCTCTGTCTCCCATAGTCCCCCACCCATCCTCACGGCTGACGGGAGCCCACGCACCCTGCATCAGTGTGAGGAGTTGAGTGAGGGGAAGGTTGGGGACATGGCCTCGAGAGAGGAACCCATATGGGGCAGGGCATTGAGCTTGGGGCTTTTCTCTGCAGCCGGATGGGGAGGGGATGTGAGAAGATGCGTTGGGAGCAAGCGGGAGGGGGCGCGGAGGGACTTGTCAGAGATGAATGGAACGGCGGGCGGATCGATAGGAAATTCATGCACTAATTCGGGGAGACCTCGCCTTCCAAATCGTATTTAGCTGCGCTATTAGCTTGGCTGTGTCAGTCAGCCCGTCTGTCCCTCTCTCCTATCCACTCCTCCCCTTATCCACATGGCCAAACCGGGAGAAGCGACTCTGTTTTGCACATTGAAGATGAGTGCTGGAGCTAAAAACCTGCAACTTTTGGGAGCAAATTGAATAGCAATTTGCTAATTCCAGAACCACCCGAGCAATGCTAACCGTGCGCGCCTAGACGTTCTGAATGCCGCTAATGCCGCCCCTTCTGCGGCGAATAGAAATCTCGCATCCTAGGGATGCTGGGGAAAGGCGCCCTAGAAGTGACCCCCTCCACACACAAACACCCCTTGATAATCGCGCATTCCCCGGGCATCTCGTTCTGAACCCAAACGGAAAGGCGACCTCAACATCCGTTTGAAAAGCGATTTTCCTTTGCCCTCGCGTACTGAAAACAACATTTACTCGGAATTTTCAATAAAGCCCCCTTGAACCGAGAATAGAGAATAGGTGGACTTGGAACAAGAGAGTAAATTAAAAATATCATCATCAACAACATTAACCTCTTAAGAGAACTGAAAAAGGACCAAGGCTCCCAGAGGCAGGCGTGGGGAGATTTCCGGTAGATGATTCCTCCGCCTCTAACCAGCTGAGCGAGGAAAAGAAAAGGAAGAAAGAAAGAGGAAGACGTCTTCTGGTAGTCGGTCACTGGGTCGTCCTTACTTAGAAAAAAACGTATCTTTTTTTTTTCTTCTGGAAAAAAAATGAACGGAGTGTTTATGTCAACTACATATTCCCCTAGATACGAATTTGTGATCACTAAATTCATTACACAAATTCGGATCTACAGGGTATATACAGAAGACAGACAGATCTTCTTGGCCCAGAAATCCTCCAATTCTCATACTTTTCGCACATTCTTCGTTTGGAGTGTGGTTTGAGTGCCTTGATTTTTTTTCGTTTTGTTCTAGTTTGAACCCTGGGAGCAGGAAAAGGTACTGAGGGTTCATTCCTGGGATGACAAGGTTTTCAATTCTCCTTCTTTCTATTAGAGAGAAATAGAAGCAGCCGGTCTGTGAAGGGATGCGAACCTCCTGGCCGCCGCGCAACTCTCTACGGCGTCGGCGCATGAATTATGAGATGTAAACATTAGCTAAGCACAAAAGGAGGAAGGGTCATCCTGAGGCTGCCACGAAGTCAGAATCAGGCCCTTCTGGGTGCCCTCGTGCCCCTCCCCTCTCCCAGGACTGTTATTTATTTTTTTTTAAGAAAAACAAAACCCCAATCGGCTCCTCCTCACAGCCTTTAGTTTGCGATCAAACGAATATCTAGATATTTTCCACAGCACCTCTCAGGGAAGGGAGGAGGGAGAGGCGGCTGAGTGTGAAGGGGGTGTCATAAAAGTCCTTTTGGAAAAATTCAATGGTAAAAAGAGAGAGAAACAGCTGTAAAGAAAAATGCTGGGAGATCAAGCAGATGGGGCCCTGGATATTTAATGACGGGCAATTCCGTTTACAACCTGAGAAAAAGATCAAAGGCGTTTCATTTCCGAATGAAGGGCAATGAGGAACCATAAAAGATCCAGCCAGACGATATGCTAGCCCCTCCCAGCCTCCCACACCTCCTGGGGGCCAGAAGAGGGGGACAACCCAGGAAGGTATAGGGAGGAACCCCGGTTCTGCATCTCCCACCTCTCTAGCCCCAGGCGGGTCCTCTCTGTCTAAATGTACACACTGGCTCCGCCTAGCCACCTGCCTGGGTTGCTGACTCTAGGGCTAAAACGGCTGGGGAGGGGGGTTCCGAACTTCTTGGGGCTCCCCAAACCACGCAATTAACTAAGCTGGGAGACTAGGGGGTTGGACTGGAGGGAGCTGAGTCCTAGACTGTGAAGGCTGAGGGTCTTCACCAGGTCAGAGGGAGAGTGCTCAGAAGCAGCCTCCTCCCCACTGAGACTCCCTACCCATCTCCCTAAGTCTGATGAACACTTGCATCCCTTAGTGAACAAGTCAGAATAATAACAATTTCACACAGCAATAATACAGCAATAGCACAAAAACAAACCTCCTACCACCACACTCCAGGCCCTAAAGTGTCTTCAGAGGTGTCTGTTTACATCCCAAGTCCTGGGACCCTTGCAGGTGGGTAGGAGGAGACCCCACCTGCTGGTGCCGTAAGGTCCAGAGCCCCTCTGATTTTCTATCCCAAATCAGGCATTGCCAATGTTGGCCTCTCTGCCTGGTTTCTAACGTCAACACTCTCCCAGCCAGGCTGGACTCACACTTTTTTTTTTTTTTTTAAACCCTATTATATTGCAGTTGTTATCATTGCCAAGAGAGAGTTCACTAGGTAACTTCAGACCTCATCTGGGCATCCAGGCAAACTGGAGTCTGGCTCTGGGCCCACAGACAAAAGGCGCTGGTAGAACCCACCCACGCCCTAACCCCAGCTCCCCAGAGTAAAGCAAGGACTTTTCCAAGTCTTGTTAAAGGCCAGTTAGCCAGGGACTCCACGACCCACTCCTCTACCGGGCCCCTCCCCCACCCCATACCTCAAGTCCTTCTCCACTCGCCCGCTCTGCTCTCGGAAACCCGTCAAACCCGTTGGCGTTTCGGAAGTTTGGGAGGGCCGCTGGGCTGGCCGCCGGGCCTCTCTGCTGCTCTACACTTCACAAGGGGTGTGGCCCAGGTGCCTGGAGCACCCCAAGAGAGGAGTGGAGGCAAAAGCCGCCGCAGGGCTGGGGATGGCTGATCCTAGGGACAGAAAGCAGAGATTTTCTCCTCTGCGCGTAGGGAGCCGCCACCTGCCCATCCCACCGAGGCGCCGCACCCCCCACCCTAGCGTAGTCCAGTCGCTAGGGATAGAGGACAGGGTTTATCAGCGACTCCCAAGTCAGGTTCCACCAGAGCAGGAGGCTCCTTCCCAACAAGAATACTAATATCAAGGCGCATAACGATAAAAATCAGAGCGAGCAAGGGCTCTGCGTGCGCTCGTTCGGAGCCACCTCCCCTGCGCTCCGGGGTCTTTCAGCGGCTCCCCAGGCCGACTTCTCCTGGCAGCTACAGGTTGCTAGCGTGACCTCTTGCTGCCCAGCCCCCCGCGGCAGCCCCAGGCGTGCCCTGCCCGCTCGGAATCATCCACCTTTTGTCCGCTGGGAGGGAGGGACGGCGCGAGCGAGGCCAACGGAAAGGCGGAGCGGAGGCGAGCCCCTAGCCGGCCCAGCTCCCCGCGGCAGCGCAGAGAAGAGGAAGGCCCAGACTTGCCGCCAACAGGAGTACTCACCGGGCCGCTCCCTGCGCCCTGCCGGCCGCCGACCCGCCGACGGCCCCGCTCCGCAGCAGAGGAGCTCGCTCTTGTCCACTATTGTGTGTCCGGAAAACCAAACCGCGGCTGCGGGCAGAGGGCCACCGGCCCCCTTGGAGGCCCAAACAAGACTTTTTTTTTTTTTGGGTGTGTTTTTGTTTTTGAAGCCCAAGTTTTCGTATTAATCTCATACTTTGGCAGTCTTTGTTAAACAGCTAGCGCGTCACGAGGCTCTCGAACATTTTAATAATTTTTAGACGCCGTGACCTGCGGTTCACCCCTCTCCGGGCGTCCCCCACTAGCAGGCAGTTACTATAATACGCTCGCGCAGTTCGCTCGGTCATATTGAATTTTGCGCAGGTCATTACTTGGGAGAAAAATGACAGACCAGGAATTTGATTCAGCTCATCCTCTCCAGCCCGAGTTTTCTCCAGAACCTTCTCTTCCCTTCACCCAAGCCCCATCCCAAAAAAGTCCCCAATCGGATCGGATTCAGCCGGCCCGCCCCTGCTTTGATTTTCCATCATTCCCATATTTTTGTCAGTTCTGGTTTGGGGCAAAGAGGGAGAGGGAGGGATTCCATGGAGGGGAGGAGGTCTTTTTGCAGCCTGAGAAGGCTGGCAGAAGGGAGAAATAGGAATGCTTCCCTGGGAATCTGGATCCCAGACAGCAGGCCAGAGAGACAGAGCCCCATTCCCTCGCTCCTTCCCCCTAAACGGCCACACTGGCAGTGCCTCACTGCTCACTCCGTCCCCTAAGTGCCAGAGATACCCCCATTTTTGCTGAAACTTTGGAGGCTCCAGGACCCCACGAATGACCCCTCCACTTCATCAGATCAGAGATTTTGTGCCATGCCCAGCATGTTTGGAGAAGACAGAGAAAACCTTGAGAGAGGGGCTGTACTGCAGTGGTCAAAGCTGAGGATTTGGCTTTCAGAGATTATAATCTTCATTTAAAAACAAAACAATATCCTTCTTCTCCCCCCCCCAAAAAAAAGCTCTTATCTATACATTAACTCCTTTTCCTGCCCCCATCACCACCGCATG